CGGTAGTCGCACATTACCAATTAACCTATCTGCATTTCTATTCACAGTTTACCCGAGAAAGCTAGAAAAATAACTAAGAATATAAACTTAATTTATTCAACCATATAAACCATTACATTAACACAAACGATTATATTGTTTCATAAAACGGTTAAGATAGTCTTATTTATCCTCTTTTATTTATTTATATAAAACCTCTAGAATTTTAACAAGTTGGATAAGCAACACCACAAGCAGTGAGGACTTTGCGAGAGTTTGGAGAGCTAATGTACTGAGCAAACGCAGGGTTCTTAGCAAAACCACACAGGCATGGCTGCTGTTCTTTCAGCTTTGCACAGCAACTACCCGATGGTTGTCCTCCTCCCGTAATCGCGGACAGGCAAGGCTGAAGCTGCGTTGCGTCACATGCTGCTCCTACATTTCCAGAATCTCCAGTGTCCGCGGCTTTGATGGGAGCCGGAAATGATGTTGAAAGTATGACGAAAATGATGAGTGTCAATGCAATGATCTTCATGTCTAATTAATTACTGAGCTCTATGATAAATTGTTTGGATTTTGATTTCTTTATATTTTTCTAAGGAACATTGGAGGTCTTATTTTGGTATTTATTAGGTATGGGTTCCCATTGCGTTGTGTAATGCAAAATGCATGTATCCTGCATCGTTAAATAACGTGAACGCAACTAGCCGTCATGCAAAATGAACCTTGAAACTAAAGGTCGAACACAAGTAAAGAGGGCAAAAAAAAAAGAATTAACTTAGGGTTTACTAAGTAAGATCAAACTACCTGAGTTGTTACCCATTGACGTAAAGTAGGTGCTACGAGACCTTGCAAAAAGGAGAAAAACTCGAGTTTATGAATGTGTCAACGAGCGAGAGAAATTGAGTTTTGATCAAATTTAATATGCTTGATTTTTTATATGAATAAATTATGAACCATTAATACATTCAGTGTTATGTAGCAGGCAGCAGCATATATATCAGTTGACTTGGATTGTTAATTCGTAAGAGACGTTAATTGCTCATTAAACCTTATTCTAAGTTCACAATCCTAAGAAATATGTGTAAGCCAAATTCAAACCAAAGACCTCTAGTGTGTGTGTGACTATCGTGATCCTATCATATGTTTCGATTCCAACTAACTATAATGTAAACTATGTGACTCGTGCGCGTATACGCGGATAACTTGTTTATCATTTTGTTTTTAGTTTTACATTTTGAAATTTTGAAAATATGTATTTGTTTTGATTTTTATTAGAGACATTGTTATTGGTATTTTTGTTGTTAATTTGTTTTTTTTAACAATATTGTTTTCGTTAATATATAAAATTTTGGAAGTTTAATTTTACCATTTTATTATTTCATAATTTTATTATTTTATATATGCAAACGTGTCAAATCAAATATATAATAATTTAATACATTGGAGTGCACAATCTATTATAAAACGAGGAGCTTCATCTCATAAAAGATAACCCCCTATTTGATCATCTTTAAATAATAATAAAAAAATCAAAGAAAAATTAATAACATGCTATTGGTAAAAGATTAATTGATTTCGAGATCGAAATATTAAAAAATTAATATGAGCAACTACAGGTAAACAAAGAAAAATTAATAAATTTTTCATACTACATAAATCAAGTACTCTACCTTTTACTCTTCTTTTGTTATGTTTTTATTTATAAATTTCAATAAAAATATATTTATAGAAAACCAAAAAGTTTTGGTGGTATCTTTTGAAAATATTTTTTTTGATGGTATACCCTAAATTAAGAGATTCTCATAATTACATGTCTTTGAGGTAGAACCATTTAAAAATGTGTGATCTACTGTAAAATGATTATCATTTACCATGTTATGACGATATTGTGGTAGTATACAAAGTTGCATCAACTGTTCGACAAGGCTGAAGTCCATGCCAAGAATGGGTGTATTGACTCAAGATGAAAAATGGTCTAGCGTCAAGCAGTATCAGATCCAAACTAACCAAGCGTCATGCAAGATATGGCACTCTACTGTGTCTGCGGATTCTCAATTAATTTATTTTGTTTTAGTTATTTGACTTCACATTCATATATGATATAATATTTTAAGATTTTCTCTAATTAAAACTTTGAGAGGCTGCTACGTGTTACTTTTGGTGTTAATAATTTTTTATTTTTAGTACTTTATTTTTACTTCATTTTGACATTTGGAGTATAATTTTTGTATTGATTCTTTAAAATAAAAATGTGATATAGATAAATTAATTTAAAGTAAATATTTAATTAACATCAAATTATCTTCATAAATTAAGTAAAAATATGTAAAACCATATTCTAATAGAGAAAATTTTTTTTCAATATCTCTTTTCAAATTCTTTAAAATTTTCTTAATTAGAACTTCTGAAAAACTATCATATTTAAAAAATATTTATTTTTAACTTTTTTTCGTTGTTTTGTTTTTTTGTGATTAATTATATTAAGAGTATATCCTATATTTTCATGTTTAGCCTTAATTTTACTTCATTTTGACATTTGTCCCTCTAAATTTTAGAATTTTTGCATTGATTCTTTAAAATAAAAATGTGATATCAATAAATTAGCTTAAAGTAAATATTTAATTAACATCAAATTATCTTCATAAATTAATTAAAAATATGTAAAACCATATCCTAATAGAGAATTCACATATTAAGATGTTCCGATGTTTTTTTTTGTATTGGCGACATGTCGCCACAATGTCATTATATAATTTTCTATCATGTTTGGTATATCAATATTTTGATAACACGAACAAAATTTATATACTTTAAAATAATTCACATAAAATAGTTTGAAATTATTTTTTACTTTTGAATCTCTACTTTAATTGTATTGTAAGATCAAATTAACTCTGTAATTTAAAACAAAAAACTATAAATACACTTTTTAAAATCTAAGGAAACATCTTGAGGGAAAGAAACCTTATGCTATGGTATTAAATATCAATAATTTTATAAGTTTAAACCAAGCTTAACTAATCTTGACACATCATTGATAATTTTGTACCAGATTTTTTCTTTATTCAACTAATATTAGAAAACTTATTTTTTCTAAAAATGTTATGATATTCGTTTATTGATAAGATAAAAAATAGTTCTGAAAAAAACTAATTTTTTTTATATGTCAGATACGTTCTTGATTTTTATATAGAATATTTTATACAAATACTCATAAACACATGAATAAAAAATAAATTTATATAAAAAATTATCATTTTATTAAAAAGTTGTAGAAGCTATATAAATTTAGATAATATAAGAATCAAATACTGTAAACCAAATATGTGATCAATCAATTTCAAAAGCATTTAAATTTCACTAATTTTTTACATGAGTTTATCTATAAATTATTGTATATTTCACTTTATAAGTTTTATCTTTCCGGTCGAGTGTAGAACTCAACATTGTTTTGTACAATAGTGGACAGTACTATAACAAAAAGATTCTAAAAGAAAATGGTGAATTCTAAAGCAAAAATAAAAATATAGTATTCAAATGAAAATATGTATATATATTATCATATAGTTCACTTTCATATTTAAAAATGATGTTTGAATTTGTATAATTAGAAATTATTGGCATAAATCTTAAACATCATTTAAGTATATTAATGTTAATATATATATATATAATATTAAAATAATTTTAAAAATTATTTAATATAGTTGTTCCGCGCAACGCGTGGATTTTCACTAGTATAATATATGTTTGGGCTGCTTGTGGCATCCGCGGCTTCAAGTCAATGTCCAAAAGAAATAAATATTCATAACTTATTTCTACTGTTCGATTAAAAGAAAAAGATGATATGAATGAAGCTATAATTGTTGACCAAAAAAAAAAAAGAATGAAGCTATAACATTAACACCAACCGGTGTATTGTTTATACAAGACGTTAGATATAACGTTATTTTTATTAATTTTATATACAAACCCCTAAAACTAACATCTAGGGAAAGGAATACGACAAAAGTCTAAGATTTTGCGACCATTTGGCGAGCTAATAAACGACTTAAACTGAGGTTTGGCCATATATTGACACAAACAATGTTTTTGCTCATTTAGCCTCACACAACATCGAGACTCCGGCGATGCACCCTGAATAATAAACCAACGTGTGCATGCACCCTCGAGCTGCTGTTCAGCACACTTTTCTTTTGGCAAACTAATCGCGTCGGCGACTTTGGTTGGACCTGAAATTGGTGCCAAGTATATCACGAAGGCGATGAGCATTAATGGTATGATCTTCATGTGTATTAGTTCTTAACCTTTATCAATAACAAATTGTTTGGATTCCTATTTTTTCTTTCCCAAAGAACAATTTTGATTTGGTTGGGTATTTATTAAGTAATATAGGGCTCGTATTCCATGGTATTGCGTAAATGTATGTATCTTGCCTCATTAAGCATTAAGCAACGTGAAAGGAAGTTGCTGTCATGCAAAAAAAACCTGAGGGCTAATATATATTTAACTTAAATCAATGCCTACACGATAAATAAAAATTAATTTTTTTAAAAATACTAATTGTTATCTAGGTTTTCATTTTAAAAACTTGTGGCTTGGGTTGCTAGGGGCTTGCTTGGTAGGAGTCTTTTAAGATTTTAAAATACATTAAAGTGTTTAGAGACGATTTTTTACCAAGCATGATTTGTTGTTTTTATGTTTTTTATAGTAGTTCTACACAAAATATTCTTCATTATATCAAAGATTATTTTAAAACTGATTTGAATTGGATTTACTTAAAAATAATTAATTATTAAAATAACAGTCACAATAGTTTATTCAGATTTTATTACCAAACAAGTTTTTATTAATATTTAAAGCAACAGCTACAGTACTAACAGCCAAAATCTCTACAGCCAAAAGTTTAAAGTAAAAATTTACGGTAAAAATCATTACCAAACGCCCCTTAGATTTTGAAGAAGTGAGCGATTTCCATTGTGCGGAATTTTTTTTAGCAGATTAACGGCAAATACGATAACGTATTAATGGACATGACGAATCGACGACCAAAATAGATACTATCTATGAATTAATTTGACAAACATCAAACCCGTATTACAATTTGATTTTTTTGTTGCGTTACAACTTTGTATTGTTAGTTTCAAACGCGTGTTCCAATTTTCACTTACGTATAAAAAGATTCGTCATTGTGAAAATATATAGCTTGTATTCACAATAAGTAAATAAACAAAATTTAGAGAAAATTATGAGAAATACCATAATTTCAAAATTGCTTTTCTCCAACTACCATAATTCGAAACTCCTTTCGAAAAGTACCAAAAGACTACTTGAGTTGACTATTTTGCTTCTCTTTTTATATTTCTCTTTTCCTAGAGACAAGAGATCAGATT